CGTTCCGCTTGATTGAGCAGCACAGCAGGATACTGTTAATACTGTTATTGTTGTTAACTATGATATTTCTCTATACTAGGATCTACATTCGACTGTGGAATCATTTGTAATACATTGACTTAACTATGAAAACGATTATAATAATAATTTGTATACAGTTGATACTGTGGATGAGCAGTGTTGATAATAATATGATAAATAACTACATAAGCCTGAAGTTTGATTTAATGATGATTTAATTAATTAGTGTTATGATTGTATTGCTATTTTCTGAATGTTAATAACTATGATTGTTGTTATTTGATTTTTATCAGAATTTTACGACACGGCTTGATATGACGGCAAGAAATCAGCATATTAAAGCTGCTGCGTTGAGGCAGCTAGAGTAAAATTCGGTTAGACGTCACAATAAAGAAGAAGGACAAAGAAGAAGGTTAAGACACGATTTGAGTCAGTAGAAGAATGTCAAGATAATCTTGTTGAATTGATTGAAGAGGATGAAGATTATGAGAGGGAATTAGAGTGGATGACTAAATGCCAAGATGAGTTTCTGGGAGAAATGGCTAGATTAGATAAGCTGCAACATCCAATTACAAATGGACCAGACGTGTCAGTTGCTGCTCCAGAACAGTAGACTTACCTGCACAAGAAGAGGATGGTGAAATAGCTCCTGCACCAATTCCAGTTGAGCCAGAGATTGTCGTCCCTCCAACCGAAAATTCTGTAAGTGACAGTGATGCTGACTCACATAGTGCTAATTCCAGTGACACATCTTAGAGTATGATTGGGGTGTTAAAGGCATTATCTTTGCCAAAAGCTCAAGTGAAGGTGTATGAGGGAGATCCACTTTTCTTTCATGCGTTTATATCCTCATTTAAGAACACTGCGATGTTCCCAGCGACATAATGAAGCTGAACACACTGATGTCGATGTGTGCTGGTAGAGCCCTCGATGCCATCCATTATTGTGTATTGAAGCCCCCTGCAGAAGGCTATGAATCGGCAATGAACACTTTAAGACAAAGGTTTGGTAACACCGCAGTAATTGTCCAAGCGTGGGTGAGAAAGATCATGGACAGACCAAGAGTTGATATTCCACGACTAGGGGAGTTTGCTGATGACTTGGAAAATTGTTACCAGGCACTCAGTGCACTAGGATTTACTCAGGAACTCAACAACCAGAGTAGTCTCAGACAGATTGTGGGCAAGCTACCCAAGTTTCTGCAGAACCGTTGGTCAAGCAAAAATTACGAGTTGAAGTCAAAGAATATTGTTCCTGAGCTGGAGCATGTTGTGAAGTTTGTGAGAGCTTCAACTTGGGAAGTGAACGACCCAGTATTTGGAAATGGAACAAGGGAGGCAGCTCTTGCTCATCATAAATTGAAGAAGACTTCTTTTAGTACTTCAATACATTTTCAGCAACGTTCCAAAGGTGATATATATGCAGTGTGTAGCCAATCACATCCAGTTGAAACATGCAGGACCTTCTTGGGCATGAAGAGAACAAACTGTTAGAGATACGGGTCTGTGTAGAGGATGTCTTGCTAGAGGTCACCGATGGAGAGACTGTAAAAGAAAACGTACATGTGATGTCTGTCAACGACAACATCCTACATGCATGCATAGATTTTCTGTTTCCAACAACAAACAAACTGATATACAAGCACCGCAGTCTCAAAGTGATACCAACATCACAAGTAGGTTTAGCAACTCAGCAGCTATGAAGCACGTGCTTCTCATTCATTGTACCAGTAATGGCCAACTATGGCAAGAGAAGTATGTTGACATATGCCTTACTTGACGAGCAGTCGGATGCTTCTTTCCTGACAGATGACTTGAAGGTGAAACTTGGAGCAAATGAAACAAGTATAGACCTCAGGGGCGGATCCAGAAATATTCTCTTATACACATCTAGATGTGTATAAGAGACAGGGGTATTGTATTGCTTGATTGAGACAACACTGTCGTAGGGGGTCCGGGGCATGCCCCCGCGAAATTTCTGTGTTCTAGACGCCCGAACATAACATTTGAGGCATTCTGGGCTATCATTTTTTTCTTTTTCTCTCTTTTTTTCCCTTTTTTTTTCTTTTTTTTTCCTCCCAAAAGGAGGGCCGGGGCCGGGCCGGCCCCCCACCCCCTAAATCCGCCCCTGGACCTAGAAATATCCACTCTATTGACTGCTGGCAAGGTGAGGTCAGAAAGAGTTCAGGGTTTGACCATAAGAGGATTGAATCATTTTGACGTCGTGCAAGTACCAGTTTTATATACCAGGAAGAGTATCCCAGTGATAGTTTCACAGATTCCTACTGCAGACAACATTAAAGTTTGGCCTCACTTACAGCACCATAAATCTGAATTAAGTCCACTCCTAAATGTACCGGTAGGGCTTCTTATTGGTGCTAAATGCCCCGAAGCCTTAACACCCACAGACGTGATTCCCGGTGCTTCGGATGAAGATCCGTATGCTGTGAAAAGAGTACTTGGATGGGGTGTTGTAGGTATGACAGAGCATGGAGAATCGAAGTTGTGTACAACATCCTTGAGGACTGCCACTAAAGTATCCGAAGTGATAGAGGCACTTCAAAGTGATTTCGTCGACCTGGGAAACTTAAAGAATGATGGTGCAGCGCTCTCAGTTGAGGATCAAGAGATTAGAGAGTCTGAAAAGTAAATTTAAGAAGAAAGAAAGGTTCGCAACACAATACAAGGAATTCATGGACTGCCTTGTAGATGAGGGCCAGGCAGAAGCTGTACCAGAAGAGGAGACTGCTAATGCTGGCTGGTACATACCCCATCATGGAGTCTACCGTAATCATAAACCTGAAAAATTAAGAGTGGTACTTGACTGTGCGGCAAGATACCAAGGAGTTAGCTTGAATGATGTACTACTTCAAGGTCCCAACTTAATGAATAGTTTGATAGGAGTTTTTCTTCGCTTTCGAAAGGAAAGAATTGCCTTCATAGGTGACATTAAAAGCATGTTCTATCAGAGATCCGGGTAGCACCACAACATAGGGATTTCTATTCCTATGGTGGGAAAGTGATGATGTTAATAAAGCACCAAAGGAGTTTCGAATGTTAGTACATGTATTTGGCGCTAAATCATCTCCGGGATGGGCCAACTACAGTTTGAAGGATGTAGCAAAACGGTTATCAGACAAGTATGGCCAAGATGCATCAGAGTTTGTCCAAAACAACTTTTATGTGGATGACGGCTTGCAGTCAGTTGAGACAGCGGATGAGGCAATAGACCAAATCCAGAGGACGGTAGCCATGTTGAAGGTGGGAGGATTCAAATTGCATAAATTCCTCTCAAAATTCAAAGCAGGTTTTGAAAGCTCTACCAGATGATTGCATCGCATCTAATGTCAGCCAGAAGGACTTGAGTAATCTACCCACAGAACGTACTTTGGGAATATTGTGGGACCCTACTCTCGACGTATTTACATTTGAAGGCAACATGAAAGAGAATCCTCCGACAAGAAGAGGCATTCTATCGACTGTGTCTGCTGTGTTTGATCCACTTGGATTAATTGGTCCCTACATTTTACAGGGGAAGCGAATCCTCCAGAACGTCTGTGCAGAAGGAAAGGACTAGGACGAACCGTTAAATGACGATGAAATCCAACATTGGATAGCTTGGAAAGAGCAACCTCAGTACCTTAGCAACATTAAAATTAGCAGATGCTATAAGGCACCTAATGCAACTGGAAAGGTGTCTTCTGTTGAACTTCACCACTTTAGTGATGCATCCACTTCAGGATATGATCAGTGTTCGTACCTAAGGCTAGTGCACGAAGATGGGACTGTAAGAGTATCACTTGTCATGAGCAAATGCAGGGTAACACAATGACAATACCGAGGCTAGAGTTAACGGGTACTCTAATTAAACTAAATAATAAAACAAAAATGTGTCATACCTGTTGGTAATTTGTTAATTTTTGATGATTTTGTAATGAGTTAATTTTGAGAAATTAAAGGGAGCCCTGTATCGGATGCCGATACATATGTTTTTGGTCATAGCGCCTGTCTCTTATACACATCTGAGTTCAGGCCACCCATGTTAGTGTACAAACGATTCCAGAGATGTTAAAGCGATACTACAGCTGGAGCCGAGCAAGCAGAGTTCTTGCTCTATGTATTGTTTTCTTATACAAATGCAGAGGTTGGAAAAGAAGTGGAGATCTCACAACTCAGGACATTGACAGAGCCAAGAAACTGATGGTAAAAGCTACTCAGCATAACCACTATAAGGAACTTGATAAGTTGTCCTGGCTAAATCCTGTGGTGGACCAAGATGGCCTTATTAGGGTAGGTAAGACTAAAGAGGTCAATCAGTCTTCCTGAAAGCATTAAATGCCCAGTAGTGATCCCTAGCAAATCTGAACTAACACGTTTAATAGTAACTCATTATCACCAAGTGACGCACCATCAAGGTAGAGGTATCACATTAAATGCCATTACAGCTGGTGGTTTTCACATAATTGGTGGAGTGTCATCCGTAGCCAGATTTATCCATAACTGTGTACTGTGCCGTAGATTAAGAAGGAAGCCAGAGACACAGAGAATGGCAGACCTACCGCCTGATTGACTAGAACCTGCACCAGCCTTTACATGTTGGACCTTTCGAAGTGAAGAATGGCAGGAAGTTGGAGAAACGCTACGGTGTACTATTCACTTGCCTTGTTTCACGTAGTGTCCACATAGAAGTTGCCAGTTCGCTGTCCACTGACTCGTTTCTCAACGCCTTTCGAAGACTTGTAGCTAGACGAGGTGCAGTTAAATAATTAAGATCGGATCAGGGTACCAACTTTATCAGTGCTTCAAGAGAACTACGTGAAACAATGACTGAAATCAAGAAGTCTCAACTGCTTCACTTAAATTGCAATTGGCTTTTCAAGGTCCCGACAGCAAGCCACCATGGTGGCGTTTGTGAGCGATTTGTGAACGAAGGAGTATTTTGGATGCACTTATGTTGCAACATAGGGCACAACTTAATGATGAGATGTTGATAACTTTCATGGCCGATGCTGAAGGCATCGTAAATAGTCGACCCTTAAGTACCACTGAGGATGCTAGTTTAGAGCCACGGACCCCAGCACATTTACTCATGATGAAGCCTTTTGTACCGCCTCCACCAGGCAACTTTAATAAAAATGGTCGCTATAGCAGGAAAATGTGGAGACGAATCCAGCACCTGGCCGAACGTTTCTGGTCAAGATGGCGCAAGGAGTACGTCCACCTTTTACAGAGTAGGCAGAAACGGAATGTGACGAGACGAAATATGCGAATAGGAGATGTTGTTATGGTGATGGACGAAGGCGCAGTCCGAAACACTTGGGAGCTAGGACGTGTAACCAAAGTCATGCCTGGTCAAGATGAACTTGTCAGGAAAGTAACCCTGTACTCAGGAAGAAGAAAAATGGAGATCCAACGACCAGTGACTAAGTTGGTGTTACTAGTAGGCAACGAATCTTAAAGGTGTTGCATAAGATACTGTAAAAAAAAAAAACTCTAAGTAAACTAAATAATAAAACAAAAAAAGGAGTCATACCTGTTGGTAATTTGTTAATTTTTGATGATTTTGTAATGGGTGGGTTAATTTTGAGAAATTAAAGGGAGCCCTGTATCGGATACCGATAGGTATGTTTTTGGTCATAGCGCCCTCTGTAAGGTTGCTAGGCAGTAACATCCATTTTGAATTAATCAAAACTTTTGAATGATTGATGTTCTCATTGATATGTCTGATTTTTGATGCAGTGACACCTGAACCGGTAAACATTCTTTATTCAATACTTAAGTAATATACCAGAAACATATTGATGTACTTTCTGGTTAGCGGAAATATTGTGGTATTATGCCTTGTAATTTAGATAAAAGGGTACTGTATTGCTTTTGCTCTGTATGGAGTTCTCACAGAGTCGGGTGTACGCATTACTGTACGCATTACTGTATGTGTAGGCGTAGCCTAGGCCTAGTTAATTGTTAAATCATTCTATGCAAACATATTCAGGAAAAAGATGATTTTACTATATTTCTCGTACTCATAATTGTATTGATAATCACCATGACAATTGCTATGTTGAACAATTTAATTATTTTATGATTTTGCATTTTAAGCATTCTAGGCTTAAATTTAAAGTTATTGTGTTTGAAACTTCCTTCATTGATGATTCGCTGAAAGTCGTACACTCGATGCGGGTCCGTTCCGCTTGATTGAGCAGCACAGCAGGATACTGTTAATACTGTTATTGTTGTTAACTATGATATTTCTCTATACTAGGATCTACATTCGACTGTGGAATCATTTGTAATACATTGACTTACCTATGAAAACGATTATAATAATAATTAGTATACAGTTGATACTGTGGATGAGCACTGTTGATAATAATATGATAAATAACTACATAAGCATGAAGTTTGATTTAATGATGATTTAATTAATTAGTGTTATGATTGTATTGCTATTTTCTGAATGTTAATAATTATGATTGTTGTTATTTGATTGCCAGAGTTTTAAGACACGGCCTGATACGACGGCAAGAAATATAGAATAAATGATACGGCCGAAGCCAGTAAAATCGTTTCAGTGTCCTTTTTGATCAGCATATTAAAGCTGCTACGTTGAGGCAGCTACAATTACTATTAATGTTGTTGTTGTAATTACTATTAATGTTGTTGTTGTTGTTATCACCTTTATTGTCGTCATAATGACTAATTAGTATTATTAAAGTAAATATTATAAATTTATTGTCATTATTATTGTTTAATATTATTGTTGAAGTAGAATGTTGTGATTAAACAGAAGACGAACACATTAATAAATAACTCTTTTTAATTCATAGGCAATAGCATTCAAATCTCTTTTGGTAGTGTGGTGGTCCTGTTTTACTAAAATATACTGTATTTTAATCATTATATCGAAGAAAAAGGATGCAAAAACTACAGAGATTTACATTAAATAACTTGTGGCCGAGTGGACTGTGGTCAAGTTGACTTGTGGCCGAGTTGGATCGAATTTGTTTCAAAACAATGCGCTAGAAACGTACGCTCGCTCACAGCACACATAATTGAATGCTGATTGGTCATTTTTTTACCCGAAGTCAATAGAACCCCCCCCCCCCCACTGCGATCAAAGCCCGGCTTAGAAAAACATGGTGCCAAGCCTTGTTTCTATAGGAATACAGCCTGGCTTGAAGCCAGCTAGTTCAGAAGTAATAAATTGTAAATAATTCACTGACATAAAATAAAATTATTTTTCGGACCCAGAAACATAAACTTAATAATACTGGGATTGATATTGAGCGGGCCGATAGCTTTATTCAGGGGTGGCGCTAAACATCCTCCCCCCCCCCCCACCAACCCGGAAAGGGGACGGGACGTTGTCCCAAACGAAAGTGTAAATGGGCGTTGTCAGGCGCCGCTTGAAAGTGTCTAGGAAGTATTCCAGAAAACTACAAAAATTTAGGGGTTCAAAGACTTATTTAATTGTTTCCCCTAAATGAGGGTTGGCCATAGTGTTAATAGATATACTTTCGTTTGGTGTTCCCTTAATAGGGGTTTTCCAGAGGAGGGGTCTTACTGTAGTTGATTGGTATTTGATCCTTTACCTATAGAAACATTTCTACTTTAAATAATAATAATAACTAGAAATTGCAAATTGCAAGTGAAGTCCTGCGAAGTACAACTGCATAAATGTTCTTCGAACTAAATTATTTATGGGAGTCAAGTGAAAATAATGAATAATAAAAATATAACAAATAATATGAGACACAACCCATTGTCTATATTAGAACACTTCTCATTGGGTAACAAAGTCGTAATTTTTCATTTTTGTCAAAAAGTGATGTAGTGATGTATAGTGGTGAATTATGGTTTAGGTTTTTTTGAATAAAGTTTCTATGTATGTGGAAAATGTAGTTGATTACCAAAGGTTACAATTTTTATTTTGAAGACTGCATGGTCTAGGAAGTGTACATTTTTTATGGGCCCAAGTTTCCACGGGCAGGTTTTCTAGGGGCGAGTTGACTGCCAAAGTGCGAGCCAGCGTGTTATTTGATCACAAGTGCGAGACATCGCAAGTGTGAGCCAGCGAGCCATGACGTCACGACAATAGATACGAGACGTTGCTCGAGGTGTGCGAGGTACCGGCTGAGATTTGTGGAGTACAATTCAAAAAACAACTATAGGTCTAATAATGAATTATTGTGATGTTAAATAGACAATGTTAGCTATCAAGGAGCGACGTTGTTTTTCATTGGGAGGCCTATACCATCCTAGCTAGTCTAGGCCTAGAGTAGGATAAGGCTAGCGCGACATGCGGACGTTGGTACGTGTTGGTTAGTCTACAAACGTTGCCTAAAGTAATTGATTTTACCCGGCAGAACGAAAGAAGGAAACTCCGCTTTTCAATCATCTTAGGCCCTTGTTTTTTGACAAACAATGACCTTTCAGATGTCAAATTGCTGTCAAGAATATGAATTGGCTGCTTTGCAGCAATTAATAAAAGCATTTATATTGTGCCCCATATAAAACAGATGCTCATATGTGCATTAGATATAAAATCATCAATTCAAGAAGGAAAAATTAAAAACA